CAATATTCAGATATTTCAAACATTCTGTTTCAGGACACAGGAAAGACGGAAAGTTTCCCCGACTATCTTAAGAACACAGCATCACCCTAAAACCAAGAATAGGCAGATAGCACAAAACTACAGACCAGTCTTGCTTAGGAATCTGATAAAAATCCCAAAGAAAACATCAGCAAATGATCCTGGTTGAGACTGTGTGGCCTCAAGAAGCAGAAATCTGCTCAGGAAAGGGGGGGATGGCTTACAAGGATTCAGGGCCTCCACACGATTAAAGGCGCCGGTGGAGGCAGGCGTCGTCAGGGCCTGCGAATGCGTCACCTCGCCTTTCTTGTCACACCAGCCTCCTCCGCTAGTCGTCAGACAGCCAAGGCCCCAGTGACTTTTCAAGTTGACTTTTAGGGTCTTCCAGGGTCCCAAGTGTAAAATCGGCAATGAAAGGATGCTTCCTTAACTCGGTTAGCGTGACATCTGCAATGTCTGCCGATCTTTCCAGGCTGGGGACGCACTTTCCACTGGGGTTAGGCAGGACCATGTGACATCAACACGAGCTGAAGTAATGTGTGCCATGTCTACATAGAAGCACTTAATTCCTGGTACGAGACTCTCCGATTCTCTTTCCCTCGCCTCAGCGAGCAGGGGAGCATTCCCGGATGTGGAGGTGCAATGCTGAGCCAATCACAGCCGTAACTGAGAGAGAACTGCCTGGACTTAACATGAACAAGAAATAAACCTCACTCAAGCCGTGAGATTTTGACATTATTTGTTACGGCAGCATACTCTAGCTTATCCTGACTAATTCCATGACAAAGAATATCCATCTCACAGCCAACATCAAATTGAATGGTAAAATATTGGAAGCATTCTTACCAAGATCCAGAATAAGGTGAGGATGCTTGATAATGCCCCTATAGTGTGACATGGCTCTGAAAGTCCTAGACAATGCAAGAAGACAAGAAACATAAAGGACAACCGCTAAAAAGGGGACAAAATTATCCTTATTTGTGGATAATATAATTGTCTACTTGAAAACCCAAGGGAAGGAAGTGAAAAACTATTAAGTAATAGGAGAATTCTACAAAAGTGGTCAGTTATAGAATAAAAACACAAAAAGTCAATCGTTTTCTTCTTTCCCTCCTCTTTTTTGCTTTTTATTGGGCTGATAGTGTTTTCTTTATTTCCCTTTTCCCTATATTGGTTTGAAAGTTATACATTCCATTTCTTCCTGTTGGAGGTTATCTTTAAATTCTTATCATGCATAATTGACTTACAATCTAAATCCGTGTCCTCCACCGTCCTCCTGGACAGGACGAGGTCGTAGGTGACTTAACCCCTTGGAAAGTCATCACCATGTGTGATTGCCTCATATTTTAGTTCCATCTTGTTTTGAGGGTATGTTTGTCATTATTATCACCGATTTTTACAGCCAACATTTATTTAGGTTTTACCTTTTAAAAATCTTTGCTCATTGTTCATCACATACTTGATACTGGGCTTGACCACCTTCTTCCTAAGGTAATCTTTTATGAGTTCTTTCAGCGAAGCTCTGTGAGTGGTGAAGTTTCTGTGTTTGTCTGAAATGTCTTTATTTTGCTCTTACTCTTGAAAGACGGTTTAGCTGAAAGGCAGCTTAAGTTGACAAACATTTTCTTCCATCGTCTTGAAGATTTAAGGTTGCATTGTCTTCTGGTCTCCATTGTTGCTGATGGCTTTTGCCATGGCATCATGGTGAAGGTGCCTGTTCTGGAGTCCTGGCCTGCCTGGGTCCCAGTCCCGGCCCTGTCAGCCATCACTGTGTAATTCTGTGCCCGGTGAGCTGCGGCTCACGGTTCTGCTGTGTGCGCTTGTCTGGCCTTGAGTCACTCGTGTGGCTGCTCTCATCTGGGGCTTGACTGGGTGGAGGGTTCAGGACGGCCTCGCTCAAAGCCTGGCAGTTGATGCTGGCTGTCAGGTGGGTCATCTTGCTTCTCTTCCACCAGAAGTCTGTGTTGGGCTTCTTGACGCAATGATGGAAGTGATCTAAGATGCAAAAGTGGAAACTACAAGGCTCCTTAAGGCCTGGCTTTGGAAGCCACACAGCATCATCTCTGCTGCATTCCATTGGTCAAAGCAAGTCTCGAGGCCAGTCTAGACTCAAGGCGGGAGGAGAGTGGCCTCTCCTTCACAGCAAGAGTGTCCTCTTGGGGAGGAGCAGTGAAGTCGCACCACACAAGGGTGTGGTCATGAGGAAGCATGACTCCTCAGGGGCCATGGTCGCAACCAAAATTACTTAAGTAGCATGAAGTAATGAAGATCACTTAAACTTTCTGTGCCTTGATTTTTCAATCCTTAAAATGTGGATAATAAGAATACTAAGAGAGTTATTCTGAAGACTTAAAGAGCTAACGTATAAAGTGTTGGAACACTATGCTTTTACGACGGGCATGAGGTAATCTGGTCTCTCCTTCTGGTTGCTCTAAGTCACTTTCTTTGTCTTTGGTACATATATCTAGGTGCAGACTCACTGTTATTCATCCTTCTTGGGACTGACCCACTTCTTAAATCTAAGGAGTTGTGTCTTTCATCACTTCCGGAATCTTCTCAGACATTATCACGTTGAATATCTCTCCCCTCCATTCTCTCCCTAGTGTGTGTCCTTTCAGGTCCTCTCTGAGGCGTGGGTTGGACTTTCTTACTCTATTTTGTTAGTTTTTATTTTCATTCTGTTTCTCTATCTTTGTTGACCGCATGCTGGGTAATTTCCTCAGTTCCGTCTTTCAGTGTGTGAACATTTCTCCAGCTGTGTCTAATCTGCTATTCGACCCATTCGTTGAAATGTTAACTTCAACAACTGCATTTTTCACTTTTAGATCCTTGTTTTTCCTTCACGTCTGCCTCTTCTTTTTCCACGGTGTCTTTTAATTTTCTTACGCGTTTTTAATTTTTTAAAAATAATTTAAAGCATTCATGTTGTAGTCTCTTTTGGGCTGTGCTGTTATCTCAGTTTCTTGAGGACTGACCCTTCTTGTTTTGTCTGCTGACTCTCCCTCGTGGTAGATCGTTCCAGCCTGTGGTCTCTATTTTCAGCTGTGAGCTCTCTTCACTGAGGATCTTGCCTTTTTGGGGTCCTCAGTCATGGAATAGCTTCCGGTTCTGGTTTTTCCCTCCCATCTTCCAGCACCTGGGCATCTCCCATTCCTTCTTTCTTTCAAGATTAATTACTTTTGTTGTTGTTGCAAAGTTTGGTTGACGTTGCTCAGCAGGAGGAGGCCACATTCCTCAGTCTGCTACGTTATCGGAGCAAGAAGTCAAATTGAATATATTATGAAGGTATCATTTAAAATCAATTGGGAAAATGTGGACTATTATTAAATGGCATCGACAGCTGTTCAATAATTAGTGGGGGAGGCAATTAGCCTTAACATACACCACAACTAAAATAAACTGCAGACAGAGCAAAAACTTAAATATAAAAGTGAAACTGTTAAAGCGCTAGATGAAAATAATGTGACTGGGAAAAGCCTGTTTAATTATTCGACTGATGGAAAAATCCTCTCAAAGCTTTGACTACAGAAAAGTTGAAAAGTTATATACGTTGAAGAACTATGAAAAAACCTAAAAAGCAAGTGACCCATTAGGAAGATATTTACAAGCTATAATAAAGATTCAACATCCCTAATCTACAAAGAGCTCTTGCACACCCAGAGGAAGACAATGACACCTAATAGCGAATTGGACAAAGGACACGAATCAGTAAGAAAATGAGAAATACAAACGACCCACAAGCCCACGAAAATCGTCCCTCTTCATTAACAGCTAAAGAAATGCACTTTAAAACAAGAGATCATTTTTACCCTACCAAATTGGCCAGACATTTCAAAAAGATGAGACTGTGCTGTGCAGTGAGGGAAAAAGGAATTCAACACGACCCTCCTTCCTCAGCAGGAGTAAGGACATGATCACGTCCCAACCCCCAGAACCCAGGAACGGTACCTCATTTGGCAAAAGAATCTTTGCCAGCGTGATTAAATTGAGGATCTTGAGAGGAGGAGGTCATCCTGGATCATATGACAGTAAGAGACACACAGGGGAGAAGACGACAGGAGGAGACGATGTGAGCACAGGGGCAGAGACCTCAGCGATGGGGCTACAAGCCAAGGAATGCGGGCTGCTGGCAGAAGCTGTGAGAGGCGAGGAAGGATTCTCCCCCAGGGTCTTCAGGGGGAGCGTGGCCCTGCCATCACCCGATTTTGGATCTGGCCTCCAGAACTGCGTGAGAAGAAATTTCTGTTGTTGAAGCCACCCCGGTTGTGGCAGTTTGTTATGGCAGCCCAGGAAACTCACAGAGCATCACCAGGACATTTCCGGAGGGCAGTGTGTGGTATCTAGAACAAACTGGTCCTAAAACGTGCGTACCTTTCCCAGGGCGCATCGCTCTCCTCCTAGAAAACACTCAAAATTAATCATTGAGGATTTGTCAAAGATTTCTTGGCAAGGATATCCACTGATGCCTTCTTCTTGAAGGGAAACCGAATAAACAACCTAAATGTTCCTTAACAGAGGACTGGCTAAAGAATGATGGTTTAGCTGTATAACAATACAGACAAAAAATAATAATAGCCATCACTGATGGAATGCCTTCGATGTGCTCTGCGTGGACTGCGTGATTTCTGCCTCTTTCCTCCTGTAATCCTCGCCACCAGGCTGTAGGGCAGGCATCAGTACCCCATCACGCAGAGGAGGACCAGGGAGGCCAGAGGGTGCAGGCCACCTGCCTGAGGTCACACAGCCAAGGGGCCGAGACGCTGACTCCAAGGCCTTTGTGGGGCCTCCACCATCCACCAGGACGACTCGTGGTGCAGCCATCAGACACAATGATGTTGCGCCAGGAAACGGCACAGAGAGATGTTGGTGGCAGAGAGTTGAATTTGAAAAAAGCAGCTGAGCATGTCCTATTTTTGCAAAAATAAAAAGTGCATTCGATGTGCAGAGGCTGGAAGGGTTTACTACACACGTTGGCAGGGAGGTTACCTCTGGGGATGGATTCAGTAATTTTTATTTTCTACGTTAACATATACAGCTTTTGTAATCAGAACAAAAATCTTAAAAGACAAAACCACATCGCTGGCTTCCGGGCTGCCCACGCCCGCCTCTGAGTTTGTTCTGGGAGCCGGGGAACAGCCAGCGCCAGGCCGGCAGGCCCCCGGGCGCCTGCCTCCCCCGGGACCTGGGTCTTCTCACTGCGCTGTCCGTACCTTCCATGAGCCCGCTCTTCTGCGGGCATCGATTTTTCCATCCTTCAGAGAAGCACCTGAGGAAAGAAAAGAGCATCTCTGAATCAATGAGCAGAGCCCTGCAGCCAGGGCTAGGGCCGGCTACGCGCTTGTCACTGCCCCCTGCCTAGGACCCGGGGCAGGGGGCGGGGGGTGAGACTGGCTGGGCTGCCCAAGGGGGTCAAGCGTGTGTGGGGGGGACTGTGTGTCTGTTGGGGGGAGTGGTGTAGGGTAAGTGTGGTGTGGAGGTGTGTGCATGGGGGGGCAGGGCGTGGGGGTGGGGGGGTGTATTGTGGGAGAAGCGGGTGTGTGGTATGAGATGGGGGGGCACACAGGGTGCAGGGTGGGGTGTGGGGGAGGGCTTGTTGCCACCTGCTGGGTGCGAGGCTCTCTGCAGGGTCTGATCTCTGCCTAGAGGAAGGGGGACCGGCTCCAGCCGGCTCTGTGAAGAACGGTCTCCCACCAACTCACCTCACGGCTCTGTGAGGAAGGTGCTGGTACCCACCCATCGCCCAGACAGGGAAACGGAGGGATGTGTGTGGGAGAAAAGGCAGGCGGGGGGGGGGGGGGGGGGGGGGGGGGGGGAGAGGGGAGGGGGAATGGAGGAAAGGAGAGAGAGGGCATCGCTGTGGCCACTAGTAGGCTCCCCCCTTCCCCCCCCAAGCTGTGCCACAGACCAGAATCCTGCCTCTAAGGGACTGGGCGCTAGCCTGTGCTGGGTGCTTGGGTGCGCGGGGCACAGGGAGGAGAGAGCTCACAACAGGGGGGAAGGGGGTCAGGGGGTGGGCAGGCCCCCGACCCCATGCCCTGCAGGCCTGTCTGGGCCTCTCCCACCCGTCACACTAGCCTCTCCCTTCCTGACTCGTCATTTGACCCAACCCTGGTCCCCCCACCCCTGGAAACACACCTCCTCTCCAGACCTCCCAGAGCCGCTCCCCAGCCCCCCACAGCTCCCTGTGCTTCTCCTCCAGGCCCCAGTGACAAATGGCCTTAAAGATTTAGGTCTGTCTTCTCCCGGCCTAGAGTGAGCTCCGGGGAAGCCAGGCTGGGACTGTGGGGCCTCTTGGCTGTGTCTGCAGCGCCCACCCCTCCCCGGGCAGGCACTGAAAACGGCTCAGCATATGTTTGTTGCATGAATGAATGAACCGTGATAATTGCTAAGGAGAGAAGTGTGCAGATGGTCTGTGACGAGGTTCTGTGAGCATGCACCGTGTTTGTGTCCACGTGCATGTGCACTGAGGAGTGCTCATGAGTGCATACGTGTGCTCACCTGTGGGTGTGTGCATTCACATGCACGGGTGCAGGTATGCATGTGTGCATGGATGTGTGCATGCACACACAATGCATGTAGTGTGTGCATGTGTGCATGCATTCATACATGCCAGTGTGTGCCTGTGTGTGCATACGTGCACACCCGTGCCAGTTGTGCCTGCTACTTCTTGCTCAAGGTGGGAGGAGTCCACACATCTTTCCCGTCTGCTCTCTCTGCTCACCTGCAGCCCGCCCTTCTGCCTCGTGCCTCCTCCGGGCCCAGGCCCCACGCCTTCAGCCCCCATAAGGGCCCCCACCAACGACTCTGGCTCCAGCTCCGCTTCAGGCCCGACATCCCAGCCAGCGGCACGCAGGGCCCAGACGTCTCCCAGCGCCTGAGCCTGACTCGGGGCTCAGCAAGCGCACGCCCTTGGCTGGGGCCTCCACCCCTCTCAGTGTTCTCACCTGTCAAGTGGGCCCCTCCTGGCCGTGGGATTCCTCCCAGAAAACCCTGCGGCCGAAGGACTCAGGGGAATGAAGAGCAGGCGTTCAGTCCAAGTGCACATCCTGGAGCAGCTCCCCAGGCTCACTTCAGTCCAGCGGGGGTTCTCCCACAGCAGCTGTTCCTGCCCTCTCCACACCGATCACACGGGAGGAACGTACTTGAAATCAGACCCAAACTCCTCTCCGTGGCCTGCACACCCCTCCTTCCCTCTGCTCCAGCTGACTTTCTGCTCTTCTTACACGCCAGGCATATTCTTGCCTCAGGGCCTTTGCATCTGCCATTCCCTCCGCCTGGCCTACTCTGTCTCTATGTCTCTATGGCTGGGCCCTGCTCATCCTTCAGCTCAGAGACCCCCCCCCACCCACGGAGGCCCTGCTCACTGTGCTCTCTCTGTACTCGCTCAGTCCCTCACTAACACGCCACTTATCAATAACTAAAATTATCTTAACGTTTTTGTCTACGGGGCTCTTGTTTGTGTCTTAATCACCACGTAGAAGGGACTCAAAGCTTTGTAGGAAATGAGGGAGGGAGGGTCCATGGAGATCGACCTGGCTTGCTGGATTCCAACCTGCACAGTTCCATTTATTAACCACTTACTCTGTGCCAGGGCCCAGCCCAAACTCTAGCGAGCGGGTGACCCTGGGCAGCACCTCTCAGACCCCCAGCTCTCCACCTGCAGAGTGGAAGGCAGCCCCGAGGCTCTGAGGGGTCCTCCCCTTCATCTCAGGCTACCTGAGACTTGGCACTCTGAAGAGCCCCGGGGAGGTGGGACCTCCTGAGGCCAGCTACTCTCCCGCACCCGCCTTAGCAGGGAGCACCTTTGCGCTGGAGGACACCTCCTCCGGGAGGCCTCTCGGCTGGGCCTCTCCTGGAGCCCTGGCCACACCATGATTGCTTACTTCTCCCTGCCTCATTAGCTATGTGCTCGCAGAGGCTGAACCAGCTCAGTGGGGGACACCCTGCAGTGCAGTCCGGAGCTCGCCCCCTGGGCCAAGGTCTGGGATGGGTCTTCCAACTCCCCCGCGGACTTGCTCGCCACGGGAAGAAGTCACGCCCTTCTGTGCATTTTGGGAGCCCTGGGAGCTGTGTACCGGCCCCAGGCGCACCGGACTCCGGCAGCCCTTGCAGGACGTTCGAGGCCTCTCCTGGTGTTTGCGCGGAGGCCCGACGTCGTGATGGTGGAGCGTCTGCGCCTCTGCGAAGGCAGCGCCCGGGGTCCGTGTTTATTTCAGCTGCGGCGTCCCTGGGGCGCCTCTGGAGGGGGCGCGGACGGCAGAGCACTGTGTGGGCAGCCAGCTTCCCTGTCTTCACTCTTCCCACCCAAGCCCCCGGGGAAAACAATCCCCACCCGCCAGAAGCCTGGCGAAGCCGCCGAGCTGGAAAAGCCGGTTCTGGGAAGGGAAGGGGGGCGGGCGCTCCCGAGGCGCCAGGGCCGCTGCCGCGAGCTCTTCTCCCCAGCCCGGCGGCCCTTGGCCTCCCAGGGCGGTCCCTCGGAGGTTCCTTCTCCGGGAGGCCGGCTGCTGCCAAGGCCACCTGAGCAACGACCCCTGCAGGGTCCTGGCGCTCCTGGGGGCCGCTGGGAAGGGACAGTTCCTGCACCGGCGGGGAGGGGCGGGGCGAAGGGCCCCCCGGGCGCTGGGTCAGAGCCAGGCCTGGGGGCGCATCTCGGCGCGGGGGCCGCGGGGTGGGGTCGGGGCGGGTGCCGAGCGCCCGCGGGGTGCCCAGCTCTGCCGCCGCCGGGCCTCGGACCGGCCCCGGGTGGCGTTTCCTCCGCGGGGCCGCCGCGCACGCGCCCGGCTGCCGGGAGCGCACCGCGTGTGCCCAGCGCGCCATGGCCGGGCCGGGCGCGCGCTGTCTGTGCCTGACTGTTTCTTTCACTAGAGGTTGCTCACTTTCGCTTCTTGGGTCCTGGCGGCTCCTCGGGCGGCTCCGTGAGCGCGCGCGCGCGTGTGCGTGTGCGCGTGTGCCCGCACGCGCCCGGCGATCGCCCCCGGCCGCCCTGCGCCCTGCAGGAACGTTCGCCCCGCTGCGTCCGTCCGTGAACAGGCGTCCCCCCTCCGCTGCCTCCGACTCTCCCCACTTGCTGGGTCTTTACAAAAACTATTCGCCGCTGAAGCCGCTGCCACTTCTCCTGACCCCAGAGGCCTCTGTGCGTCCCCGCCACCCCCAACAGGAAACCGAGGCCAGGATGGATGGAGTCTTGCTCCACTGAGCAGGAAGCCACATCCTGTGGAGGCTGGAGACTTTTGCTTGAAAAAGTAAGATTTGGATGAAGCTCAGAAGGGCCTTTTCTGCTTCCTTTCTGGCCCCAGCCTGCTGGCTTGTGACGGTTCTTTTAGTGCACCCTGCTCCTGGGTCCTGCCTCAGGGCCTTTGCACAGGCTCTGGGCTCCAGCTGGCCAGAGATCTACATTCCTAACTAGCTGTGTGACCTTGGACAAATTACCTAACCTCTCTGCACCTCACTTCCTTGCCTGTAAAACAGGCTGATAACAGGATGTTTGAGGGTTCAAGGTGATGACCAATATAGCACGTGAGACTGGGTGCTGAGCGCACAGGGAAGGACATGTGGTGGCCCCAGGGCAGCCGTGGGGATTGGGAGAAGCTTCCTTGCCTGAGTCCCTCCCCTCCCTCCTTCAGGGAGCCTCTGCACCCTCCCCCGCCCCCCAGCCTCCCCAGTCTGGGCCAAGATCTTCTCAGGGCCTCATCGGCCAACCTTCACCCCAAATAATTCCGTGCCCCAACCCCTGCTGTGAAGCCCAGCAGGAGGCAATAGAAGGGGGACCAGGTCTGGAGGCAGGAGAACTGGGCTCAAATTCTGGCAAATTCTGCCGCACTGTGTGATTGTGAGCAAGTTGCTTGGCCTCTCTGTGCCTACACTTCTTTCTCCGTGAAACCGAGGTGGAAGGCTGCCTGGCCTGCGTCTCAGGGCCCTCGGGGGAGGGCGCAGATGCGGGGGGGTGTCATTCTAAGCAGGGCAAAGCCTCACAGGAGAGCCTGTTGCTGCCGTAATTCGCCCCCGGCCTCGGAGCCTCGACTGACGCTTGAGGAATCAACCTGCCGATTGGACCCCAGGGGTCCCTGCCACCTGTGCCAACTGGAGGTGGCTGGGAGGCCACTTCCAAGAATCGTGCAGCTTGATGGGTTCGGCCACTCAGAGCTGGCCTTAGTCGTCGGCTCCAGCAGTGGGGCCACTGAGGCAGTGGCAGCCCCCTGGGGAGCATTTTGGGGGAAGCAGCACCATGTACTTCACTGGTGAGCGAGGCCCTGGCCGTGGGCTGTGGGCTGTGACCTGCCTCGGCCCTGCCCCCTGGCCCCTCCTTGACTGTCCCTCCTGAGCACCAGCCCCTGGAAGTCCCCACATGGGGGCTCTGTGCCCCAAGTCAAAACCGCCACCTTCCCCCCGTTCGCACCTCCTTTATCACTGGCACCACCACCCACCCAGTTTTTCAAGCCACCAGCTCGTAGCCAACTTGTTTGCTCAGGAGAAAACACCAGCCTTGATTTCACTGCCCGCTCATTGTAAAACTGCAGACAATATAGAACATGTACATGCAGAATGAAAGTTCCCTCATTAGTTGCCCCCCCCAGAAATAGCTACTGTCCACGTTGGGTGAATTCCTGTACCTGTTTGAACTCTCTCAATTACAACAGACAGAAAATCTAATCAAAATGGGAATTATGGGCTCATGTCATAGAACAATTCAGAGGTGGGGTGGGTTTCAGGCATGGTTTGATCCAGAGGTTCGTGATATAGTGGGGGATCTGGCTTGGTTCCTCTGCGCTTCTTTTCCTCTATCCTCCTCATGGTGTCCGCTGATCCAGTTAGGGTGGCAGCCGTGGCTGCTGGGGTCCGAGATGTTATCCTCATACCGCACCTTCAGAGAAGGGGAGACCGACTTGTTCTTGTTCCCAAGGAAGAGTGAGGAATCCTGTTTCTCGGAGGTGTTCTGACCCAGCCTGGAGGGGGTCAAAGAAGACTTCCTGGAGGAGGTGGGGCCTGAACAGATCCTGAAAAACCACCTGTAGGGAGAGTCGGGGCCTCTTTTACTATGAGAAAGCAAAGTGCCCTTTACCGCTATTGAAACAAGGCTCAGAAAAGCAAAGTCACGGGGTGGAAGAGGCTGCGGCTGTCCACAGGGGCGGTGGGCACAGCGGGTCGAGGGCCAAGCTCCCCCTCTGCAGCGGGGCCTCGCCTCCTGAGCCTCAGCTTGCTCCTGAGGAGGGAAGGCAGCAGCAGGCCAGCCCACCGCGTCGTTAGGAGGTGAAGGCCCAGCCTCCTACCCGCTCAGCAGACACGACTTATGATCCATGTTATTGTTATTGGTGCTTTTGTTATTGTTGTCACCCTGGTAGACCCCTTAGCCCAGTGCCAGGCACCCAGCAGGTGCTCGGGAACTAAGAGCTGGGACCCGGGTCGGTGGTGCCCAGCCCCCTGGGGCAGAGAGGGCATGGCCGGGCCCACCGCACAGTGGAGTGACACCACCAGCGCTCAGGCTCCGCCGCTCTCTCCAGCAGGTCCCTGCCCCGGCGCCCGCCCGCCTGCAGCCGAGAGGGGAGCTTCCAGACGGGGGTGAGGCCCCCGCACCCACTTCAGCCGCCTGAGCCTGGCTCTGTGTCTGGTGAACTGGCCATCCTTCCTTCTCCCCAGCAGGCGAGCCATGAAGAACGGGCCCCGCAGGGCCGGCCTGCAGCCTCAGCCGAGTGCGTCCACAGCCATTAGCGGGAGGCCCCAGCCTGGCTGATCAGGGCCAACGCACAGCCCACCCCTCACTCTGCTCCCGGGGGGGCTGCCCGGCAAAGCTCCACCCTTGGGGAGAGAACAGGAGCTGAGAAGGAAACGGAGGTTCCAGGGCCAGCATGGACGTTTGTGTAGGTTGTTCACTGCACAATGGGGCTGCTCAGGGGGCATGTGGAGCTGCAGTTCAGCCAGCCCTCACTCGCCGGGCGGAGGGCCCTGGCACCAGCTGCGTCCGCACAGGACATGGTGCCTGCTCCTGATCCATTTGAAGGAGCTCCAGGGGAGGGCTGGGCCTGCCTTGGTCTTGGGAAGACGCCACCTGAGAACTCGAGGCCCTACCTCGTCCCTTTTCTTAATTGCGTTTTTACTGACTTCTTTTTGGAGCACATACGTATGTATTTTATCACATGGGTGCATTTGTGTAGCCACTGCCACAAGCAGGATACACAACAGTTCCATCACCCCAAAACTCCCTGGTGCTGTCCTTTTGTCAGCACGTCCCCCCTCTTTCCTGACCCCTGGCAGCCCCTGGTCTGTTCTCCGCGGCCGCAGTTTTCCCTGTAGACGGTGGAAGCAGACAGTCCGGGCTGAGATGGGCCTCTCCTACGCAGCGTCCGGGCCCGAGACCCACCCGGGTTGTTGTCTGTATCAGTGGTTTGTGCCTTTTTGGTGCTGAATAGCAGCACGTGGTGTGGACGCCCCAGTGTGTTTGTCCACCCACCCACTGATGGGTGTCCGAGCTGTTTCCAGTCCCGGGCTGTCACCGATCCAGCCACTGTGGACATTCATGCCTCTGTGTCCATGAACACACACGTCTGTGCACGGAGCTGTGTTTCCTGGCTCTGGGATCGATGCCTGGCGGCAGACAGCTGCCACATGGCAAGAGTTTGACTAACTTTCTAAGAACTTGCCAAGCGGTTTTCCAGAGCAGCTGTGCCATTCTGCACCTTCGTCCTTGGTGTCTGAGTTCTGGTTGCTCTGTGTGCTTGTCAGCACTTGCTATTGTCAGGATTTAATATTTTAGCCACTGAGTGGCGTGGAGTGGTGTCTCGTCACGGTTTTGATTTTCACATCCTGGTGGCTAAGAATGTTGAGCATCTTTTCATGCCCCTATTTGTTATCTGTGTATCTTCTCCGATAAAGTGTCTGTACAAGTCCTTTGCCCATTTTTAAACTGGGCTTTCTTTTAGCTGTCGCGTTTTCAGAGTTCTTTATACCTTCTGGATACAAGTCCTTTGTCAGATGTGGAATTTGCAAATATTTTCTCACGACCTATGGCCTGTCTTTCCATTCCCTGAACAGTTTCTTTCACAAAGCAAAAGTTCTTAATTTTGAAGAAGTAAAATTAATCTTTTATGGATTGTGTTTTATTTCCATGTCTAAGAACTCTTTGCCTAACCCCAAGTTCCTAAGATTTTCTCCCAAGTTTTCTAAAAGTTTTTTTTTTTTTTTTAAAGATTGGCACCTGAGCTGACATCTGTTGGCAATCTTTTTTCTTCTTCTTCTTCTCCCCAAATCCCCTGGTACATAGTTGTAGACTCTAGTTGTGGGTCCTTCTAGTTGTGGCATGTGGGACGCCACCTCAGCATGGCTTGATGAGCGGTTCCATGTCCGCACCCAGGATCCGAACCAGCAAAACCCTGGACCACCCAAGTGGAGTGCGAACTTAACCACTCGGCCACAGGCTCACCATCTAAAAGTTTTATAGTCACAGATCTCACATTTTGGGTCTATGATCCATTGTGAGTTGACTTTTTGTATATGGTCTTCCTTCCTTCCTTCCTTTCTTTCTTCCTTTTTCTTTTCTTTTCTTTTCTTTTCTTTTGTAGATGGATGTCCAACTATCCGTCAGTATTTATTACATGAATGATTACAGCAGTTGAACACTTGTTTTGTTAAAAAAAGAACCTCAACCTAAACTTCATATCTTATACAAAATTTAACTCCCGGTGGATCGTAGACTTAAGTGCACGAGGTAAAGGCGACAGGCGACCACGTCTGTCTCCTGTGAGACTCTCAGCCCAGCTCCACTGGCAGCTGACGTCGAAGTGGTGAGACTTACGCAGCACAAAGGGTAAATCAAGTGAGAACCCTCTATGGCCACACTTGCCGTGTCCGGGTTTGAGGACGGGAGTGAGGGACCCAACAGTTACCAAACGTGAACTCTGCACCGAGTACTCCACTCAATGCTTTCTTTGCATCATCTCATTTAGTCCTAAAACAAATTAATAAACTTTTAGAGATTGGTGTTTTATGCCCATTCTATGGGTAAGGAAATTGAGCTCAGAGAGGTTAAGAAACTTGCCTAAGCTCACACAGCAAATGAAAGAGCAAGGTTTGAAGCCAGGGTGTCTACCTCTGTTAGAGGCAGGCAAGGGACAGTTGGGCCAAGCTAATGGCTGGATCTCCCCTGATTGTGTGCCCTTGGTTGGGGTGGGTGTGGGGCACGGGAGCTTTCCTCCCAGGATTCTGGGGAGATCAAAGGCCTCCATTCTCCCGGGGGCCTCAGCTCAGGCCCCCTCATGGTGACGCCTCCTCCTGGATGGCTCCTGTTCTTGGGAGCTCATCAAACCCATCCCCGACAACGGGACCATCCCAGCCGATGAGGGCGGATGCCTCCCTATCTGGTCGTGATAGTCCTGGGGGCACGTGCAGGCCTGGGCTGACCCTGTGCGTGCCTGGCCCTGCCCTGGGGCTCCCCGCCTCCCACTGACTGGTCCTTCCAGCCCATCAGCCTGGCCTTCTCCTCATTCCTGGTGCGTCCTCACCCCCCCCCCCCCCCCCCCCCCCCCGCCCCTGCCCAGGCTGCAGCCCTGCTGAGGACGCCCTCTCCCCTTCTCCTCACTTGCTCAGCTCTGACTGCCGCCTCTGTTCAGCTCGAGCCACGCCCTCCCCAGCAGCTCCACGAGCTCTCCCCCTTTCTCAACGCCTGCCGCTGATAAATGCAGTCTAGTTCTCTAGGATCGGAAAAGCTGGAGTTTGGCAACACAGCCTTCTAGAGGTGCATGGACCTTCTAGAACCTTCTAGATGCACCCAGAGATGCATCGAGAGCAGTCTCAGCCCCAAATAGACTGCAAGCATGCTGAGGGAGGGAGGGGCTGAGTCTTAATCCCCTCTCTGCTTGGCACAGAGAAGACTGGCTCCCTGCCCATGGTTGGGGACGGAACAGACCCACCTCTGCCGCAGTCTTGCTGTGCGACTCAGCGCCTGGCAGGTCATGAATGCTCCATCAAGGGCCAGAGTCGCTGCTGCTGTTCTCGTGGCTATTATTTTTACGCCCAAGATGCTTTCCAGAGTGGTGTGGCCAGGTAGGGAAGGTGAAGGGCCCACTGCTCTCCGGACTGGAGCAGGGAGTCCCTTTCCTCTCCACCCCCACTCCAACGCCTCCCAGAACGCGCCACCTTCCAGCCTCAGCTAGGGGCCCGCAGGCTCCTCAGGAGAGGAGGAGAGAAGGACCAGCTTTTAATTCTCTTCCCCCCTCACGGCCTTGAGTTGACCCCCAGTGTGACAATGAAGGGGCCCCAGGGAGGCCCGGGGTCAGGCAGAGGGGGCAGGCTCTGGCCTAACAAAGGCTGCCCGGAGCCCAGACCTCCTGCAGCCTGACTCGACTTCATGGTCCCAAAGGAGCTGCCTGGATCCTCACTCGCCACCAGACCTCCTCAGCCCCAGGTCCCGTCCACTCCAGGCCCCGAACCTCAAACACCGCCTCCACCAGCAGCCTGTCCTTGTCCCTGCCCCTGCCCCGGCCCCAGCCTCCGACCTCTCCCCCGGACTCTGCCCCCGCCAGGCCTGCGGCTCCCCCGGCCTCTCCTCTGTGCCCTCCCTTGCCCACCAGCTGGGGATGTCTTTCTAGAACACAGGTCTGATCATGTTCCTCGTCCCCCTCAGAGACCCCCAGTACTTTCAGCAGTGGCTTCTCCAGCTTTTTATACACAATTATCTCCCAGAGGACCCGTTCAAATGCAGCCATACCGGGACCCCTCCCTCAAGAGAAGGATTGCCTGCGTCTGGGTGGGGCCCAGGAACCTGCATTTCACAAGACCGCCTTCTGGGCAGGGGACAGGGTCCCAGGGCCGGGCTCTGCTCACATCCTCAAGTTCTGGCTCAAAACTCTGAGGACACAAGGCTGTACACGCGGGCCTGGCCTTCCAGAGCCTTGCGCAGGTTGCGGTCAAGGAGGGCGGCGGCCGCGGGTCGTCAGTGAGCAGTTTTCCCGCTGGATGGCTAACCTGTCGCTGTCTAGACTTTCGGCACATGAACCTCCCTTCCTACTCCTGTCCAGGCCCCACGAACGCCAGGAGTGGGCCTGCTTGGACCTCAGCTCTTTATTCCCTCATCTTCAGGATAAGCTCCACCAGGTTTAGTCTGGTGTGCAAAGCCCCCCAGAGCCCAGCTCCCTCTTGGGCCCCTGCTGACCACCCCCCCACACACACACACACACATTACCCTCCAGCATCCAGCTTATGGTCTTTGAATGTACCTTCTGCCTGGAATGCTCTTCTCCCACTTCTCCCCTCGGAGAACTCCTATTCATCCCTCAAAACCCGATTTAGATTCCATGATTCCTGAGGGCCCCTCTGTGCCCTCACCTCCTTCTCTGGCTGTGTGTACCCTGCTTTGTTATAATTAGTTTGTTCAGTTGCTTCCCTGGAGGCAGTTTACCGTCTTTACCACAATGCTTTTGGAATCAAGAGAGCTGGCTTTGCCTCTGACCCCTGTGCTAACGAAGGGTCTGAACTTGGGTATTGTCCTCCTACCTCTCTGAGACCTTTTCATTGTTGATAAAATGAGGGCTAAAATATCACCCTCTGATTGGGCTGTCTTTCCTGTTGGTGGGCAAGCTCTGTGAGACCAGGGAGTGCGTCTCCTCATCTTTGGAGCCTTGGGGGCTCAGGATGGGACCTCTCTCAGTGTGGACCCCCGGACGCTGAGCTTGTGGGTAGCTCAGGGCTCTGCTGCTCCCCACCCCCCATCCCTGGAAACTGTCCCCACTCTGAGTGCTTAGGGAAAGGGCCTCGTGTCCCTCTGGGACCTCCATCATCAGTAGGAAAACCAGCAAGGCCCACAAGGGGAGAAGCTGGCATGGGGGCCGACGCTTACCCCAACTCAGGAGAACGGTCTGCATCCTCTGGTGTGCGTTTGGGGGTGCCTGCTCCCTCCCAGCCCCTAGGGGCCGGCCCAGGGTGGGGGGAGGCGGGCAGGGTGCCTGGGAGGCACGGACCGGCCCCAGCTGCAGAGCTGGAGCGAGAATCTCTTGATCTCTTGGCTGCACCGAGAGGCGGAGGCAGCCAGGGCCCTGGAGATGGTCTCCATGACAACCGCTGCCACTCACTCCCCATCTCGGATGTAAATTAGTTACAATTTTATTAGTGTGCAGAATTTCAAGAGGCCGGATCCTGCCTTGGAAGGGAAAAGGATGGTGGGGGGAACGGGGGAGCGTTTCCAAACGCTTACCACCCCAGCAAGGGCCCCAAACTCCAAGGTGGATCCAGGGAGAGGGAGCTGGGCGACGCCCTCGTTTGTCCGCCCCCACCCCGGCTGGTCTGGGCTGGGCGAGCCAGCCTGTCTCCGGAGAGGAGGCGACACACAGGCCCGGCACCAGCTGTGTGCCTGGTGCTCTCCCTGCCTTGTCTGGCCTCCTCCTCAGTGGACGGGGGAGGCAGCTGAGGGCCACAAGGGTCACCAGCTGGCCTGAGGGCGCCCGGCTTCCAGTAGCCAGACTCCTGCTCAGCTGCCTCCGAGGTGGGTCAAAGGTCACAGAGACCCCTCAGGGCCCCGGGGCAGGCAGGCGAGAGCACTGCGAGGAGCGTGGGTGTCTGAGCAGACGGCGGGGCCCTGGGAGCCAGGCGTCAGCAATGGGGCTACTGAGGATGTGGCTGGTGACACCTGCGTCACCACGTTCTGACATTCGATGCTCTGAGTCTTGTGTGCACATACGCACGTGTGCGCACACACACTTTTTTTTTTACCCAAGGAGGAAAAAAAAGGACAGATTTGTCTTTTTCCTAAAGCTGTTGTTAAAATTAGTTGTATCCCCCAAGGCATGTCCCACTGTGTTTGCCCCCGACGTGGCGCCGCTCCCTCCACTGCAAAGAGCCAGCTCCGGGAAGCAGGGCCCAACCAGGCAGAGGACCAGCAATGCCCCCTGAGCTCCTGATCGGGGGCTGGCACAGAAGTGGGCACTGAGGACCCCCCGGGGAGCAGAACAGCTGGCACAGGCGGGACCAGGTGCAGAGGGAGAGGGGGCAGGAACAGGCCGGGGAAAGCTTCAGGCAGGTGTGAGTGGCTACACCAAAAGAGAGAGAAAGGGCATGCCTGTTGAGGGGCCAGCCTGAATGCAGGCTTAGAGGCGTGACAAA